TGTCATAATAGAGCGACGCAAAAACACAATGCTCCATGACGTATTTCATGTAACAAAATTCATCAAAATAAGACGTAAACAACAGACAAAATGCATGGATTGCATTAGAATGGGAATAACTAATCTTCTAATTTGGTATTTGCGACCGTTAATGCTGATTTAACGATCGCAAACATCCGTTTTACCGGCTCCGCTTACGCGTCGCCGGTAAAACTCAGTTTGCGACCGTTAAATCAGCATTAACGGTCGCAAATACCAAATTAGAAGATAGTTATTCCCTAAATTAGACTTTTTGCTACGTCCCAATCAGTCCATATCTGTTTAATTGGAATCGAAGAAAAAATTAAATAGTAAGTAAAATTTTATTGTTCTTACTTCTCGATGCGATAATTCTGAAAGTATGGTAAGTACCAATGTAAATGGTAAATCCTAAATATTAAATCGATTACTAGACATTTCTCAAATTTCCCTTTTAATTTTGACTTTAATTTAATTTTTTTTTCATGTTTCCATTTTGGCTAAAGCTGAATAATTCAGGAAGAAAGACAAGGGAAGAGAAAGAGATCTTTCTTCCAGTACTAATTTATGTACTTATGTAGATTTTTTACTATGTAGCACATCAGGTCCATTATTCATTGTCTGGAGACCTTGCCCTGTGTCCATAATTGTAACCTATCATTGGTAATGATTGGCTCAATAATTATGCACACAATGGCACCCAACCATGAAGCTTGGGCTTGGGGTGTACAAAGTGATTTGGTAGCAGCAAAATCCCATTTTTATGTTCATATAAAGCGTAGTTTATTCTAAAGCTGCTGTATAAAAAGAAGAAATGAACTATATCGACGACGTATTATAAATCAACAGTGGTTATTTCCAGATAGATATATACAAAGCAGGTTCCAGCTCAGTCGGTAGAGCGCTCGCTCCGTGATCGGGAGGTCGTGCATTCGTATCTCGGCCGCGACTGACCCAGTCGATAAAATGGGTAGCAACTGTTCCTTCGCCGTGCGCTCGGCACTTTGAAGTGAAATGATGAGACCTTAAAAACCGAGTCCCCGTGTCAGCGGCAGGCGTTGGCACGATAAAGATCCCTCACTGCTCAATGGCCCTGAGTGCCGAGTAAAGTTCAAAATTTGAAGCCCTTCACCGGCATACGGTGACGTCTCCATATGAGTGAAAAATTCTCGAGCGGGACGTTAAACAATATACAGTCAATCAATCCAGTAAATGTTCAACCAAGCCTCTTTCTTTACTCCTCACTACGATAATTACAGTATGAAGGAGAACTTCAAGAGACTGTGCAACAATATATCCGAGACGTTGTGTGAATCAGAAGGATACTTAAAAATTTCAAGGAACTTTTGGACAATTTAAAATCACAAGATTTTACAAAAATCAACAGCTTAAAAAAAGCTTTACGACTTTTCAACTTTATACACAACCATTCCCCACGATAAATTAAAGTCCAGGCTTTTTAATGTTATTGACAGATGTTTTTTCAATTAATAAAATGGAACTCGTTTGATATTTACTTACCTAGTCATTGTTCATTTACAAAATTATTTTGTTAAAAACATTCTTATTGTAAATAAAAGTACTCTGAAGTTGACATAAAAAGATGCTCGAGTTTCTGATTGACAATATCTATATGGATTTAAGATACCAGGTCTTCCAACAATCTATTGGAATTCCCAAGGGTAACAATTGCTCCCCGTTATTAGTTGACCTATTTTTGTAATTATATGAAGCAGAATTTGTCCAAAATCTTGTACGTGAAAAAAAGGAAGAAAACACTTGTCGTGGCCTACACTTCGACATTTAGATAGATCGACTTATTGTCAATTAACAATTGTTATTTCAATTCTTATGTGGATACGATACATCCTGGTGAGCTTGAGATAAAAGATACCACAGAGTCTGACACATCTGTTTCAAATTTGGATATTTGACTTGAAAAAGACTTAATGGTAATTTAACAACCAAGCTCTATGATAAACATGATGACTTTAACTTTTCTATCGTCAACTTCCCTTACTTACTTCATCACCTGTATACGGAGTTTATATCTCACAGCTGATTCGATACGCAAGAGCATTCTCTACGTGTACAAAAAAAATTATTGACAAACAAGTTGATAGAGTTCAACACGTTTAAAGTCATCATTTCGTAAGTTATTTGGTTGATACAATAACCTTGTCGGCAAATACAATTTACTGGTCAAATGCCCTGTCCATTAATTACATTTTTCTGTTGTTTGATCATGACAAGGAGCACAATGGGTGTGACCTCAGTATCCCATAAAATTTTGTATTGTTTATTGGAAGAATACTGTTGTTTATCTGCATATATTTCATACAAATCATATGTAAACTCGAGTTAGATTGACTGTGAACTGCTTTACAGTGGCATCGGTGTTTCACTAACACGTCTCGTTTTTTGGAGCAATTTGCTGTTCAGATTTATAACGAAATACACATGTATTATTTTAAATGAATCTGTTTCCTTAAACTTCAATATGCCAATAAAGGTATCGACGCGGTTAATATAAGAAATTCTAATCAAAAAAAAAAGTCTTGTATTCATCAATTTCAGTTTTGAATAATTTTAATATCCCAATCGAACAAAAATGATTTTTGAACTACCGTTATATATATATATGTAGGACCTTAGATCCTTATTTTTAAAGTACGATGGGACTCCGATCCTTCAACTGGCGTCGGAATTTCATGAATATTATGGATTCACGCCAAAGTCCAGATATGTTGACACTTTGTCAGAATGAAATAAATGTATCAGGTCAATGTTAAAATCCGACGATAGATCCTTCTGACACGATTACACCAAAGTCCGATTTTGAAGAACTTGGCTTTAATTCTTCAAGTGGAAAACAATTAACGAATAATTTTTATGACAAAAATGATTTTTGAACTACCATATATATATATGTAGGACTCCAAAGTACGATACTCCAAAGTCCGATGGTCAAAAATGCGCCAAATCCCGATGCCACGTCCATGCCAAAAAAATAAATACAAAAGATCTGCCAAAAAAATAAATACAAAGACTAACCCTCGTCTTTTGGATGTAGGTGCGAAACTTAGACTTAACAGTCAAACAATGAGTATCAACTCTAACCTAAATATCATAGATGGGTGCTGAACTAATCTAAATTAGTCCAATAGTGTGCGAGGACTAACCCTAAAATCTCTCGGCCGGGTTCGAAGAAACACATTAGAGTTCAACCCTTATTACTCGAATGCTGTACGAGGACTAACCCTAATACCTTTGGTGGGTGAAAACAAAAAGCAATATCAGTAAAAATGTATGTGAGACGAATACTAAATCAATGGATTTTGAATGCAGAATAACGTCATGACGTCGGACTAGTGTGACGTTATAAACGTCGATTGTTCCTCCGCAGTAATGAAAAACTTCAAGAGTACTGTGCAACAGTATATTCAAGAAATGGTGTGAATCAGATGTGGATACTCAAGAACTTTTGGACAATTTAAAATCACAAAATTTTACCAAAATTAAAAGCTTAAAAACTTACGACTTTTCAACTTTATACACAACCATTTCCCACGATAAATTAAAGTCCAGGCTTTTTGATATCATTAACAGATGCTTTTACAATAAATATGGAACTCGTAAATTTATTTGGTCATTGGTCATTTGCAAAATTATTTTGTTAAAACACATTCTGATTGTTAACACAAGTTCTCTGAAGTTGACATCAAAAAGATGCTGATTGACTTTATCTAATTGGTTTTTGGAGACCAGGTCTTCCAACAATCTATTGGAATTCCCATGGGAACCAATTGCGCTTCGTTATCAGCAGACCTATTTTTTGTATTCATATAAGCAGAATTTGTGCAAAATCTTATGCGTGACAAGAAGAATACACTTGCTGTGGCCTTCAACTCAACATTTTGATATATCGACGACGTATTGTCAATTAACAATGGTAATTTCCATTCCTATGTGGATACGATATATCCTGGTAAGCTTGAGATAAAAGATACCACAGAGTCTGATACATCTGTTTCATATTTGGATATTTTACTTGAAAAAAAAAATTAATGGTAATTTAACAACCAAGCTCTGTGATAAACGTGATGACTTTAACTTTTCTATCGTCAACTTCCCTTACTTATGCAGCAATATACCTTCATTACCTGCATACGGCGTTTATATATCTCAATTGATTCGATACGCAAGAGCATTCTCTACGTATGAAAGATTTCTAAAATGAGGTAAATTATTGACAAACAAGTTGATGAAACAAGAATATCAGCATTCTCGTTTAAAGTCATCATTTCGTAAGTTCTTTGGTCGATACAATGACCCTGTCAGCAAATACAATTTATCATTGAGTCAAATGCTGACTGACGTTTTTCATAATCCATTATTTATACACTGAATTGACGACGGATTTTCCGTTATTTCCCGATCATGACAAGGAGCACAAGGCTGATATGACCGATCAGCACGGGATACTCACTCCCACATGGCACCTGATCCTGATTTTTTAGAGGCCCGTGTTTGCTCTGCTTCTATTTTGTATTGTTTTATGGACTTTGATATAGAATCTGTACGTTATCTTATCTCCATATCCTTTATGAATCAATTGAAAGAAGTTTTGACACCAAACAATTTATTTAAATACAGAAATAACCAGTTTTCTTATCAGTACAGAATTTTTAAACGATTTTCTTTCTATTCTTTTCTTTTATAATTCAAACGATGCTTATTGCTAATTTCAATTTTCAAACATCGTTGTCATTTCAAGAAATAAAGAAAGCAATAGAAAATGTTTGATATATCTACAATATACAAAAACGCTAAAATCAAACAATACGTTTTAAAACAATGCTGATTGTTTGCCATCTACCTTCTTAACAAAGTACAGATTTTGACTTTCAAGGTTTAAATGTTTCATGTTTTCTGGACCCAGGTCACTTTTCACATTACGAGTCTTTTACTTGTTCTTCATATCAAATATTTTTAAGGCGAAAATTCGTCAACCAATGAATGACAGATTCTGGTTTGTAGTTTTCTGGTCCTGCGCCTTGGCCAGCGTACTGAATGACGTCATCATATATGATAAATAACCTCTCAGGAGTAGCTGCATACTTAATAGCTCCAGAATTGTCCATGGAATCAATAAGCAGCGGACATGGGCATCCTTCCTCCAACAGCAGCCGAGCTGCTTCTAGTCTCTCCTCTTGTGTAGTGTGGGAACTTAAGTGAGAGAATTTGGTACATAGAATATTCCATTCATCCACAGGATGAGCTTCTCTAACATAAATAATGATGAAGTCCGCAATGTCCGAGAAATCAGCAACGATTTGCTTGAACAACGCGAACTTCATTATGAATGGGGGTCAGGTGCAGCTACCAAAGTTCACAATCAGTGGTCTCCCTTGTTTCTGGAAATCTAGTAGCTTCATTATCTTTTCTGTCTGTACATTAACAAGACTAAGGTTTGGTGCCACTTTACCGACAATGGCGGAGCGTCGAAAGATCTCTGTGCCATGGTTTCTTATCTGAGTTCGAAGGGCCTTAAAGGACTTGGTAATTTTCATCCCCTTTGGTCCCTCTGAACGGACCCTGTCTCTGAACCGATCAAAGATCCAATGTCCAAAAGGCATGTGTAATAGAACTACTGTCATTAAAAGGAGGCGACACGCTAGCTTCACACATCTCCAAATTAAAGTAAGTCCTCTCCATGGCTGGGCCTGAGCTTTCCAGTCATAATCAAGGCTTTCCATCCTGAGTTGCAAAAAAAAAAAAAAATACAATTCATCTTGGAAATTATAATACACGTATTATATACCTGTATGTTCACCTTTTAACAGATCAACTACATGTATTTAAATGTAATTTGTCGTAAAAACATGAAAAAGGATTTTGTCTAAAACCTATCAGTATTTTTTCATGTATGCATCACATTCATATGTATTGGTTATAATTTAAGTTGAGTAAATTATGATAAACGTAATGAATTCAACAATTTTTCTATCGTCAACCTCCCTTATCCCTTATCACCAGTAAATAAGATTTATATCTCACAAAATATTGAATGCCCAAATCCATGTTCTATAGACAAACGATTTCTAAAGCTAGACAATCTACTGACAAATAAGTTGAGAAAACAAGGGTATCGATAAAAGTTAACATTTAGCAACCTCTATGGTTGATCAATTACCTTGTCGGTTAATACAATCTATCATTTAATAAAATGCTGACTGACATTTTAGGTCATTTTCACTCTGAATTGTATACATTTAATAATTACGATTTCCCGATATTGACGATGAACACACAGCGGATGTGAACATTCACTAGGGGATGCTTACTCCTCCATAACACCTGATCCCACCTCTGCTGTTTTAGAGGTGCACGTTTGCTCTGATTTTTCCTGTTTCAGTTTACTTGATAACTGTTCGTTATTTTCATATTTTCATATTTCATTCCATTAACGGTAAGTAAAATCAATGCTTAAAACAATAAATTCCCCTGTTTGAATTAAAAAAAACCCAATATGAACCCAAAAAATGAAGCATATATTGATATGTATTTTTTGACTAATATTGATTTGAAAATGTCATAAATAACAAATCTCTGAAATAAAAGAAATTGAAATTTTCTTCGGTGCTTAGATACATGACTTTGTATTGCTTTGTTTATAATTCTGTACAAAATTTTGCACAGCTTTTTAACCCTATGGCAAAATCTTATAAAATTCCCTCACTATACCTGGTTTATCATTACCAAGGTTACCACTTAAAATCATTATCTATGAGGAATATTGCTGATTTCTGAAAAAAAAGGTTGTTTTTTGTTACTTATCTTTAAGTACCGTTCGTTATCTCTATTTTTTATTGGGCAAGTTTGCTGTGTATATAAAAACTGTGCACGCTTGCGAATACATTATTAAATATCACAACAGGTACTTGACGTAACTTATTTTTCTTACATAAAAAATAAGCCCATGCCTTATACCGGTGATACAGTCATGTATTTAAGGAATCACTGTCTAGTTAGTGTAGAATGCCAGGGCATTAACGATAGTGGGAAACATGGGATAATTTGCATAACGGGCGAATATTTCCATTTCATTGTGAAATGAAATTGTAGATTTAGACTTTAATAATGTAGACTTATATATTTAAATTACACGAGGACTTCCATGCCAATTTCAATAGTCCTCGCCCACTGACGTCAAACAAAAAGGCAGCCGCACGAGATTTACATGCATATTTGGCCTCCTTAGCGCCAGACACAGAGACAGATGCGCACGAGATTTGGGCCCCCTTAGCTCCTGACCTATCGACCTGCCTAATTAACATTCCGGCAGAATTATCAAGAAATCAACACCGTTTAATTTCAAAGGGTTATTAAAAAGAAAAAAATTAGAAATGGAAATATTATTAGGTAAAATCAAGTGCCTGTGAATATCACCAAAAAAAAAATCAATTATTCTACAAAGTCGTAGAAAAAGGAAACATTTTTAGAATTAAGATACCAAGTATCTAAATATTGAATACGGAAATAAACATTTCACATTTGACCGCTTATGATAATACATGTATAATTTAATCAATAAAATGAATAGTTGAAAGTGAAATATATATTAAAAATCCATTCAAAATCCTTCCATCCAAGTCTTCCATTTTCCTTTACCCTCTCCCTCTATTAAAATAAAATGGTATGTGCAATAAAATTCTTACCTTTAAACAAAGTTTTATGAAGTCCTTAATTCCTTTGCAAAATGCTATAACGTTATATACGGTTTACGAGAATGTATAAGTAGGTTCACAAAATAGAACGAAAAGACACAAACTAGGTTAATGTCCTCTTACCTAAATAAAAAAAAAACTACGCATTTTATTAACAGATTATATAAGAACATTAATTTTTTTCTCCTCTTACAAAACCCATCTAAATTCAATTATTTTTATAAGTATTCTGTCATTTTCTCTCTAAATATTTATAAATTCTTTATTTTGATAAATTAATTTAATAAAAATGCTTTTTAAAAGAAAGATTCAAATAATGGTTATTTCCATTCTTATGTCAATATGATATATCCAGGTGAACTTGAGAGACTTCTGTATCATATTAGGATATCTTATTTGAAAAATACGTTATCTAACTACCAAGCTTTATGATAACAGGATCACTAACTTTTCAAATGACTACTCGTACTTATCGTACCTTACTTTTGCAGCAATATATATTTATTGACTGTGTCCAACGTGGTTAATCACCACTGAAGGCAATTTACAATTTTTTGAAGGCGCGAGGCCAGGGGGTAACAGAACAAAATATCCTTTATCTAGTAAAAATATAATATGGTATCAGGTATTATTATCGACGGATGTTAACTGTATTTTTTTTTCATAATTATACATATTGGGGCATATCACCCCTCTCACACACCCCTTTCTCGGCGGATCCCATTTGTACCTGCGTCTGATTCATCTTACAAGTTCAGTAAAACGTCTTTCATTGATTCTAAGACATAAGTTGGATCGATTCACTATCGCAACCAAACCCGGATGTGATAATGTAATATTGTGTAAACAACACGGTAAAATCCACAGGAATTTTAGGTAAATATTTCGATCGCTTCAGAGCTCGGATTCCTGTTCACTTATTCTTAATACTGTAGATATCTCTGAAGCAGTGATTCGAGCTTGTGACCTAATTTAATTTGACGTAGGTTGTGTAACTCTTGAAATATAGTCATGCAATTTGCTGATTATTTTTTTTTCTTCATTAGGTCTACATGCTGAACAGCACAGACTAATACTTGAAACGTATATTGGAAGGACGATTTTTCTGAATTTCTCAAGGATAGGGGCTTATCTATAGAGGTAAGATATATGCATTGGCGTCGGAAGCAAATTGAAAGTGGGGGGGGGGGGGGCTACGTGAAAAAAAAAATTATACCTTCAAAAAACCTGACAAGCAAAAAAAAAAACAAACAAAAACCGGATATGATTTTTTTTCTCAACACGAAAATCCTATTTCGGGGGGGGGGGGGGGGGGGGGGGGGGGGGGGGGGGGGGGGTAGATTCGAACTTCAGTAACAAAATTTTTTTCCGAATACCACCACTTCCCTCATTTTTAACCTATACTGCGACTTGTCTGTGGAAAGTGGGGGGGCTAAACCTACGCAGCAATGTTCAATGTCTATACTATATTTGGAAAAAAAGTGTGGGGGGGGGGGCTAAGCCCCCCCCCCCCCCCCCCCTACGGACTGTGTATGCCGAAAAGTTTTTCAATCAATAGATATTTTTCTTAAATGTATATACTAAATTTAAAAAAGTTCACTAGACCGCATCATCGAGGTGTGCGGGTCGACTATGCGACGACACTTTACTGCGATGACGATGAAGCGAAAGGGCAATAACGCTGTTCAAGCGATGCATGTTGCGAGAGCGCAATGAGTCATTGAATGACGATGATGGACAGCAAAAATGCGATGACGACGATAAATCGGAAGCGCTATAGCAAGATACAAGATACAAGATATTTTATTTACCAATCAAGGGCCCCGAGGGGCATTTCAACATACATAAATGAACAATTTAAACATTCTCTCTTTTTTAATAGCAATATAAAACGACGGTGATGGCACGATACGATGAAATGATATTTGCTTTATCGTACTATTGCTCTTCGCATTGTTGATGTATCCTCATCATCGCGCTATCGCTCTGTCGCGTCATTGTGCCTTCTTTCGTCGTCATCGCTCTAACGACCCTAAAATATATTTAAGGAATCACTGTCTAGTTAGTATAGTATGCCAGGGCATCAACGATAGTGGGAAACATGGGATAATTATCCCATGTTTCCCACTATCGTTGATGTCCCTGGCATGCTATACTAACTAGACAGTGATTCCTTATACTTCCATTTCATTGTGAAGTAAAATTGTAATTTAGACTTTAACAATGTAACATAGATTTAAATTACACGAGGACTCCCATGCCAAATTTTAGTAGTCTTCGGCCACTGATGTCAAACACAAAGGCAATCGCACGAGATTTACATGCATATTAATTTGGCCTCCTTAGGGTCAAACACAGAAGATGCACAAGATTTGCATGCATATTAGGTCTCCTTAGCTCCCGACAAATCGACCTGCCTAATTTACATTCCGGTAGAATTATCAAGAAATCAACTCCGCTAACTTTCAAAGAGTTATCACAGAGAAAAAAAAAATTAGAAATGGAAATATATATTTATATCCGCCGCTTGAAAAGCGGTAGGGTGTATAGTAATCGGGATGTCCGTCCGTATAGCTGTTGGGGTACCCATCTCTTATCCGCAACTCCTCTCATACCACCGAATGAAATGTGATGAGACTTTTACAGAATCTTTATTACATATTACCGGGTTTCCCATAGCAAAACATGGACACTGCCGTTTTATTCATATGGGAGGCGGGGGGGGGGGGGGGGGTTATCATTTATAATATAGTGAGCTCATTACTCACAGTACTTACAGTTTTCCTGCCCACGGCTCCTGAAGTTTTCTAAGAAAGTATTTATAAATCAAGCGATGATACAATAATTTATATTTATGCAACGAGTAAAAAAAATCAACAAATCATGGTTCACATTTATTATACACTGTTTCTTTCCCTTCTAAGGCATTAAAATATGAGTATAATAAATTTTGATTTGTTTGTCTATAATGATTAATGGCAGATACCTTTGTGTCCATGACTGATGGACTCCAACACACCGCTAGACAAAGGCGGAAAAGTAAGATGTTTATCTTTATCTTATTTGTTTCATAAAATTTTAGCATGTAGAATAATCCTTATTTTTTAAAAACTTTTTATAGATGAAGTAGATAAAGACAGAAGAAGGTCACGTAAGACGGTACTACGGTAGCGGCGGAATTTACATGTCGCAAAATATTTACAGAATTACTGAGGTAGTTTTCCTTCAATGAATTTTATTGTTATATATATACAGGTGATACATCATCACTGAAATATCCATCATGCAATTACAATATAATTTATCATTTCTTATTCTCTAGTTTAAAAATATCATACGAGCAAAATGGTGGACATTTTCTTGTACAGGTACATGTATGTTTCTCAAATCGAAACTTTGTAAATCACTCTCTCTCTCTCTCTCTCTCTCTCTCTCTCTCTCTCTCTCTCTCTCTCTCTCTCTCTATATATATATATATATATAACATTTACAGAATCTTTCTAACAAGTTACTGAACCATGCAGCCTTACAAGGGACGCCATGCATATGTTCAATGGATCTTCTCATGTGACCCTAACACCAGGTATATTTATAAAATAAAATACTTTTATATTTTTAACAAAAATTAGTGACCAGTGTGTTCCAAAAGTTTTTCCCTCAATTAAAATTTACAAGGCGATCTTAGATTAAAAAAAATTCTGAATTAGATTCCCGTCCTGTTTTGCTTGCGTGTAAAAGAGTTGTTTATGGATTGTTTTCTGGTTGATCCCCCCCTTTTTTCTCTCAAAAACAATACTTTTTTTTTAAAATGGTGAACACGCTTTGTTGAATGAAATTTCAGAGACCATCCGGGATACTTCAGTTGACGATGTCTTGGTCTTTGTACTCGTTTTTGTCTCAGCTCTGGGGTTAATCTTCATCGTGTGTGGTGCTTACAAAATCAGGGAATGGTACAGGGCCCGGAATAGGGGTAAGAGTTTATAAAATACCTTGTATGAAGTTTTAAACTATTCAGTTTCACCTATATTTCATTTTAAGGTCTTCCTTCTACAGGTATCCCCGATGACCCTCCTGTACACGTAGACAGTCCCCCTCCGTACCCCGGGAAACTGTCCAGAACAGACATCAATTACCTCCCCTCCTATAACTCCGCTGTCCTGATGCCGGTCATTTCGGTGGAGACAGGGGGGTCCACGGAATGTCCAGGGGATACAAGAACGAACCAGTGGCCCTCAAGTGAGGGGGAGAAACTAACAGTTCCTCCGCGTGGGGATAACTTATCTCATACAACGTCTATGTCAGAGGAGTCCCGAATGACCTCTCCTACCAGCTCAGAGGGAGCTGACCATGTACAATCCAATACCGTCCACCCGTCCATAGAAATATCAGACCACGTACAATCCGATACCGTTCACCCGTCCATAGAAATATCAGACTACTCCAGTCACCCCTCTACAGGCATATCTGACTCCCCCAGCAACTCTTCTTCTCCAGTTGTCTTTACTTGTTAGGGATAAAAAGGATAAATTTCTGGTCTTATCACCCCAAACCCTCCCACCACAAACGTTACTTTAACGTGTATGCTTCAACCAACAAGGACAAAGTTGGGTTCATCGACTTACACAAGTCATACATTATCTTTACAACTCAATTCAAAGCAACAGTGGGCAGTACTGTTTATGTTATCTTGAATAAAACCTTTATCACTGTTTATGTAAAATTATATTATATATTCATAAATGATAATATAGACAAAGGTATAATATTAAATTTAATCAACCCTTTTCTTTGAATCCCGAATTTCCTTTTCCTTTACAGGGATTGAGCGTCATTTCGTGGACAGTGATGTTTTTGTTAGCCTGCATGGTCCTAAATATATTTATTGTATACCAAAAATATATGTAATAAAAATTCATTCAGACTAGTTTTGTTTTGATTTGTTTAAACAGCTCCCCTGAGCGAGGCTCAAGTGAGCTATTCTGATCAAAGGACAATATAGGGTAAAACCCTTATTTGGCCCCCGATTTTGGGTGTCTTTCAGAATGATCCAACAGTTAAAACAGTTTATCCTTGAAAACCTTTTGTCACCCCTGCCACAAAATAGGTATTGGTTCTAAGATTTAGGATATACAGAGGTCACAGAGAGGTCAGGAAATAGGGCAGTTTTCGAATTTTCTCATTTTTATGCAAATATTGAAATTCATTGATTTTACATCACATTTTATCTCAGAAAACATAGAGCACAAGCTTGCCTATCTACCAAATTTATATATTTTATACACTAGTATCAGATGCAGTTTATGTGTAAAAATCTCAGATAGGCAAGCTTGTGCTCTATGTTGTCCGAAGAGAAATGTATCTCAAATATGAAATTCCACCAGAATTGAGGAAATTTGGGAAAATATCATACTTCTGCACCCTTTAATAGCTTCCATGTTAGCTTTGAATCTAAATTAGTGCTTGTTTTAAAGCAAGCATTTTTTTAACTTCTCAACTACAAACTATTAAAATTTTACCAGTGTTCTGATTTTTACATCAAATAAGGGGCCAGATTCGGCCATTACCCTATCTTGTCCTTTGTCGTCTTTCGTAGTTGTCTCATCAAGATTCTTCTCCAGAACCACTCGGCCAATTTCAACCAAACTTGCCACAGAGCATCCTTGGCTAAAGGGATTCAAGTTTATTCATTCAAAGGGGAGATAATTAATAATAAATCAAGATTATTTAATGGCAATTGTTGAAAAACGAATAATTTCAATCTGCCCAGTGGTTTCAATTCTATTTTCAGAGTACAATCAGTGCATTGACAGATCAGAGTTTAAAGATCAAATGAGGTCAAAGGTCAAGGCCAGATAACTGGTGAAAAGTACACACATGTAATTAAATTACAGGCCAGAAAACTAGTGAAAATTAAATTATATCCTGCTTCTTGCAGACATTATCATTTTCTCCCAGCTAGAGTAGATGCATGTTTCGCCATCAATTTTCAGATCATATGTTAAAATTAAAACAAACAGTTCATTTTTTTTCTTAACTATCAGGCCAGTTTTCTTGATTAAGAATAGCTGCCACTCAATCAAGGAGGCTAATTTTAAATTAGTTTATTTTAAAAATATTTTCAAAACCCGATGATCAGATTATCTTTTAAAATTGTTTATTATGAAAAGACGAAAAGAAAATCAACTTCTTCATGGAATTTAATAAGTAATGGTCACAACCAGCATTGCTTATTCACAAAGATCAATGTTTAAAGCCAACAGACAGGAATTGTATAAAATGCATTAATCAGACAACAATCTTATTCTAACTTCATAGTATAGCAAATACAATTAATAATGAAAGTCCAAGTTTTCCATCTCACATACAAACTACTGACACAAAACCTCACTTATTAAAGGAAGGGGCATGATGACAATAGATATCACCTGACTGAGAATTTATACAGACTGCAGCTTAAAAACTTATATCAATAGTTACAAATTGTCCAAAGAATTTACATATCATGTAGAAAACATGTAGAAGTGAAAGCCAATCAAATCAGAAAACAACCTCGCAAAATAAATAACAAACATCATAATAATTTTTACATATTTTCTCATCCTAAGTATTTCCAGATAAAACCAGAAGTCTCTGTCGAGACTGTAGCTCTACTGGTTTATACTTAAAACAAAGGAAGAGAAAAGTAGCAGTTGGGACTTGAGACAATAAATCAGCAATAAATAGAAAAATGATCCTTGCCACTCATCAAAATAAAAACCAATGCACAGAATTATGTATCTTAGTATAGTCTACTTGTGTGCCAAGTTATACTGAAATCAGACCAGAACTGCAGGAGGAGTAGCATTTTGAAAGAATTTCACAGAAATTTCTGTTTTTAGTAACCATGGCAACATTGTTCATTGAAATCAAAAACCGATGCACAGAATTATGTATCTTAGTGTAGTCTACTTGTATGCCAAGTTATATCAAAATCAGACCAAAACTGTAGGAGGAGTAGCATTTTGAAAGAATTTCACAGAAATTTCTATTTTTAGTAACCACGGCAACACCGTTTATCGAAATCAAAAACCGATGCATTGAATTATGTATCTTAGTGTAGTCTACTTGTGTGCCAAGTTATACTGAAATCGGACCAAATCTGTAGGAAGAGTAGCATTTTGAAAGAATTTCACAGAAATTTCTATTTTTAGTAACCACGGCAACACCGTTCATCGAAATCAAAAACCGATGCACAGAATTATGTATCTTAGTGTAGTCTACTTTTGTGCCAAGTTATATTGAAATCAGACCAAAACTGTAGGAGGAGTAGCATTTTGAAAGAATTTCACAGAAATTTCTATTTTTAGTAACCACGGCAACACCGTTCATCGAAATCTAAAACCGATGCACAGAATTATGTATCTTAGTGTAGTCTACTTGTGTGCCAAGTTATATTGAAATCAGACCAAAACTGTAGGAGGAGTAGCATTTTGAAAAATTGTTTACAGACAGACAGACAGACGGACAGACAGACAGACGGACGGACGACGGACGCATTACTATCGCATAAGCTCTTCTGGTCTCTGACCAGTAGAGCTAAAAAACCCAGACCTACGTAACATGGTTTAGAATAAATTGCCAGCCTGAGAGTGTAACCTTCGAATGTGATACTCTTAAGCTTTGTCAATCAAACTCATTTACAGTTTTATCATCCTTCAGTCTATTTATAGAGAGGACAGCTATAAGTTTAGGGCATGTACATTACATAGGTACCTGAATTAGGACTATTAAGCCAAGGGCTCAATGGAGATAAAACACAGAATACATACTACAATAAAATCACAGAAAAAAATATGTATACAATACATATAAAATAAAAGGTAAATTTATTGGACGGCATTATTACCAAAATCTACAACAGAAATACTGATAAACTAGAAGAAAAAAGTACATATAAAACTGGATAATTTAATACAGTGACTCATAAATTAATACATCTACACTTAAATATATGTACTTTTATAGAGAAAGACAGATATGCATCAAAATAAAGGATTTCTCCATTGAATCTTGTTAGCACTGATATATCAATAGCTATAACAAAGACATTAAGTAACTTGCTATACAATATCACAGACAGTGCTGCCATCAAGCTAACAACTCAAACATCAATAGGCCTCAAATCAAACTTCTGAACCGTTTGCCTTAATTTGTAAATAAACCTGTTCAGGTGTCACTAAGTGAAATGCCCTCCTACGCTCCTATGGATTGTTGTTTTATAATCACTGCTATGGATTGTTGTTTGTTAATCACTCCTATGGATTGTTGTTTGTTAATCACTGCTATGGATTGTTGTTTGTTAATCACTGCTATGAATTGTTGTTTTATAATCACTCCTATGAATTTGTTGTTTCATAATCACCAGCAGAGACAGTTTGCAGGAAGAGAAAGACGAGGTAGATCTAATCATGGTTCGAGGGTCACTTGGACACCAAGCCTCGGGCCGTGGGGAAAATCTGACTCTGGTCCTTCTTCGTCTGTTTTAACCTGCAGCAACAATGAAAAAGATGATAGCAATGTATTTCAAGGTTCTTCATTCTACATCAGAGGTGGTTATTAAATAAATACTTTAAGTTTTCATGAAATAAAGTCATTTTAAAACATTTGCTGTAGGTATACAACAATGTCCATATTGAACAAGGTTGATGGGAGGGAACTATCTTTATGGGAGAGGACTATCTAAGTTTTTAGAACTTGTGTCCAATCCCTTTGACATGTTGTCAATAAAATAAGTTCAAAACAATAACAAGGTTGTTTTGTCAAATTATTCTCATTAGTATTATAAATCAACATATGCATGTTCTTACTTAGCAATCCTAGATTCCTTCTTCTTGGATTTCTTATTGCTAAACACAGATGGAGTTCTGGAAGAGAGAGAAAATCAAAGTAATCCAATAGTATCATACTTAGAAAAATATAAGACTATAACATTTTCCTTGATACCGTATCAGTGGAAATTTTAGCGAGACGCAAATTTAGCAATTTGTCCTTAAAAATTGGTCTTTTTTTTAGCGAAATGTAATTTTAGCGATTTTAAAAAGCTCACTAAAGAAGCAATTACAAATAGAGTGCAATTAATTTTTAGCGATATTCAATTTTAGCGATCTTAGCATCCTCGCTTAAAATTCTGCTTATACGATACATTGATGGAATGGGGTCTTATAAAATTTAGGACTGGTAAAAAACAGAAATTTAAAAGTGAAACTGATTGAGACTGACTGCTATTTACTGATAACCAGCTCTAACTTTAACTCACCCTCCCTCAATATCAATGTCTTCTTCATCCATTAGGGCCGCATCCAGCGCTGCCTGAATCTTTGGCGCCACCTGTGGTCCATCGTAATCTCTTGTTGTGCGGTTCGGCATATCCAGATCAATCAAGATAATGTTCTCTCCCTGACAAAAAGTTACAGGTTCATAATATTCATTTAAGGTAATTCTCCATTATAATTCACGCTGTAAAAATGCAGCAATTATTCTATATCTTTGTCACTTCAGTCTCTTTATCTTAAGTAGTGAAAACACAAAGGCAGGGGAAGACAAATACCATTGCCCGACGCCCAGGGCTTGTCAATTTTAGGGGTGGGTAAACAAAAATAAAATTAATATGTAAGCAACAGATTTAAAGCTGGGCATTGGGGCTTGCATGATCTATTCAGTATTTGTCTTCCTCTTTTTTTTGAAATATAAATAATACAGTATTAGTTTATGGTAGGGCAAGCAAAAATTCAGGTAGGGCAAGTGAATTTTGACCATGTACTTGCCCTTGGACAAGTGCCTTAAAATCTATTTGTCAGCCCCTGAAAGGTATTACCTTAAACCTTGGGTGGCCTCCCATTGCCCCAGCCACTCTGGCATACTCCGACACTGGTCGTTTATTACCCAGGGCCGACACGGGGCGTTTGGCCATGGTCTGTGCACTGAAATAAAGAAAACATACCTTACAGTGGTTTTTGCATACAATCAACAACTGTTTTTAAATAGCCTTGAATAAATATGTTGTATATGCATATACATCTGTAATTTTATGGTGGACAATATTTTACACACTGAACAGTAATCTATACACTATATAATCTTTTGTTGGCTAAAGGAATCAGCATTGTTGGTGTATTCTGTATACATCTGTATTTTTATGATGGACAAGATTTCATATAAATTTCTATCAAAGCTTTTGTTGGCTAAAGGAATCAATTCCCAGTGGTTGATGTATTCTGTATACATCTGTATTATATAAATTTCTATCGAACCTTTTGTTGGCTAAAGGAATCAGTTCCCATTGGTCTTCGTCTTCATTGTACCGAGCTCGGTTCTGTAATTTAATCTTCTCCTCAGGAGGGATAAAGTTTTCAATGATCAGCATCCTGAAATTAAAACACCATACTTTATCAACACATTAATTACTAAATCATAATAATAATCAGCATAATTCATGTGGTGTATTTGATTTGTATTTGAAAAAAAATGTTGCCAAGTTTCATATGCCTGAAAGAATGAAACATTCTGATGAAAGAAGAAGTTTGAGGTCTATAGTGACTGTCATACTCAATTGAGTTTAATGTCTATATTTTTCTACTCACTACAGTTTGAGATGTATATTTTTACTCACTTGAGTTTGAGATCTCTTGTCAGCTCCATCTGAGTCTGTTCCAGTTCCTGTCTCTCTTTGGAATGTTCTTCCTGTATATCAGCGATTTCTTGTTTTGTAGCTTGTAACTTAGCAAACAGCTGGAGGGATATGAACAAACATACATAAACGATAAAAAATATAATTATCTGGATAAACTTTAGATCCTCAGATTTTTAAATTTTTTTTTTTTTTTTATAAATCACTGTTTATTTCTGACCTTTTTTAATTTCTTGGTTTTGATTTCCACTTCCTGTTGTAAGGACTGGAATCCTTCCTCCATTTCTATTGCCTTCTCTTCTCTCTCCTCCAATTTCTGTTGAATTTCTCTTTCCCTTTTCTAAACACAAACACAAGACAATATTAACATCAAAGTAGCTTTATATGTACAGTGTATAGGTTATGGTTTTACAGCAGGAAGACAAATCTTTGTTAAAATTAAGACTCACTAGCTGAACTGAAATACTGTAGAAGTACTTTTTTCTAAGTGGTATTAATTTACACCATGTATGCAGTCACAGATTTTCCGTGGAAATTTGTCCTAAATATGGCATATAATGAGAGTCTTCAGATATCCACGCAATTTTCTAATTACGACCCCAGGATTTATGACCCAGTGGAAAAAAGTAGTCTGAGTGAAGTAAATACATGTATGGGACACATTATCCCTGTCTTACTGCACTTGTAATATATACTCGCACAAGAAAGCATTAACAAAATAACCAGAATGTCAGAACTATTTTAATTGATTTATAATCAATGTACAGTTTAATTAACCCCTTGATACCTTCTGGTCGGAGATTTCTCGTCTCCTCTGTTCCAGCGCCCTCTGCTGTTCATTAGTGTGGTCCACAATATTCTTCCCTCCCATCAAAAGTTTGCTTTCCATGGCCTGATAATACAAACATAGGTAATCAAAGATTACGAAGCTCACCTCGACGAATGTTATCAGTTTAAGTAATGCAAATCTCACATAATATTTTCTTAATATTTAGTATTCATCCCAACAACAATATTCTTGCAAGTTGTGTTTAACCCCTTACATGGCATATACATATTTCTACGCGTGTAGCCTGAAAAACATGTATAGTGTAAACAAATATTCATAACTGTTAATACTGCAGATATCAAGGACTTCAAGTTCATTCGGATTGATCTGTTCCCAAAACTTTAACCTAGTCTCTTGTATGGAAAATATAGGTCAGATCCAGCATCCGATGCAAGTCTGATAGTGTCCATCCTTAGATGCATCATCCATGCAAGTTTGGTTTAGCTAGGGCTTATAGTTACTTGGGAATGAAAATGTAGGTCAGATCCAGCATCAGAAGCAAGTCTGATAGCGTCCATCCCTAGATATATCATCCATGCAAGTTTGGTTTAGCTAGGGCTTATAGTTATTTGGGAATGAAAATGTAGGTCAGATCCAGCATCCGAAGCAAGTGTGGTAGTGTCCATCCCTAGATGCATCATCCATGCAAGTTTGGTCCAAAAAGGGCTTATAGATACTTGGGAATGAAAATGTAGGTCAGATCAAGCATCCGATGCTAGTCTGGTAGTGTCCATGCCTAGATACATCATCAATGCAAGTTTGGTTCAGGTATAGGCTTATAGTTACTTGGGAATGAAAATGTAGATCAGATCCAGCATCCAAAGCAAGCAGGGCTCTCACACCACTTTTTGGGACTGGGGCCGGGGCCGTTCAAATTGGGAAAATTATCGTCATTTTGGGAAAAGTTGGATAATCAAAATTCATTAAAAAAAATACTCAAATTTTGCTTTTCTAGCATTTTGTCATCAATTTAAATCTGGTTTTGAATAAACAGTTAAACAGGACAAACATGGGTACATAGGCTATTTATGAAAGTACATTAGCTTTGTCATTACTATCTTTGAGTGTTGATATTGCGGTTATTTGTCTTTCCGAGTGACAGTCGCTAGTCACATTGTCCCGAATTTCCTCGATCACATGGACAACTTTGCTTACCAATACCATGAATACAGCGCGAGATTGAACATGCCGAAGCGTGGGTATGTTTCTAGGTGCAGCTTACTAATGTTTAAAAGAAATATCTATTTTTGAAACCAAAATGATGTTTTTTGTCGAAACTAATACAAGATACTCTGCACTCATAGTTAGTACACATTTTTGTAAATTCAATAACCTGGTTCCCCGAACCAGTTTACGAATGGATTTGGCGCGAACTAATAAAATAGTAGTACAGTTTCACTTTCATTTGCAAGTGTGTTTTGTTTGGTTTCTTTTTCCGATTAAGTTTCTTGGACTTTTATTTTTTAATTAATATTTGCTATGGAAATTGGGAAATTTACACCTTTCTTTGTGAAAAAAGGTACCTTTTTTGCATTGGGAACGGGGCCGTTGAACGGCCCCAATTTTAGAGAATCGAGAGCCCTGGCAAGTGTGGTAGTGTCCATCCCTAGATGCATCATCCATGCATGTTTGTTCCAAATATGGCTTATAGTCACTTGTGAATGAAACTGTAGGTCAGATCCAGCATCCGAAGCTAGTCTGGTAGTGTACATCCCTAGATACATCATCCATGCAAGTTTGGTTCAGGTAGGGCTTATAGTTACTTGTGAATGAAAATGTAGGTCAGATTCAGCATCTGAAGCCAATCTAGTAGTGTCCATCATTATATGCATCATCCATGCAAGTTTGGTCCAAATAGGGCTTATAGTTCCTGTGGAATGGACCTGCTCCAAAAACTTTAACCTGGTCACTCATCTGGAAAATGTAGGTCAGATCCAGCATCCGAAGCAAGTTTTGTAGTGTCCTTTCCTAGATGCATCATCCATGCAAGTTTGGTCCAGGTAGGGCTTATAGTTCCTTGGGAATGGACCTTCTCCAAAAACTTTAACCTGCTCCAAAAACTTTAACCTGGTCACTCATCTAGAAAATGTAGGTCAGATCCAGCATCCGAAGCAAGTCTGGTAGTGAACATCCCTAGATGCATCATCCATGCAAATTTGGTCCCGGTAGGGCTTATAGTTACTTGGGAATGGACTTGCTCCTAAAACTTTAACCTGGGACGCCGACGCTAACGCCGACACCGACGCCGACGCTGGGGGTACAGCATAAGCTCATCTCGACTTCGTCGAGGTGAGCTAAAAATCTTACATTTTAAATATTTTCCCAACAGAATAGTGTCATCAGGTCAAGCTTAAAAAATTCTTTGTTTGCAGTTGCCGACCTATAATTTTTAGACTGGGTCAGTAGGTAGGCATTCTTTTTTTTTTTTTTTTTTTTTAAAAAAAAAATCAGATTTTTGTTAGATAACAATTAAAAGAGTTTTTCATACACCTACTAAACATGAAAAAGCTCACCTCTTGTTATAAACCACTGAATGATAAAAAACGTGTCAAAATTTGAAAACGAAACTGTTTTAATATTCTGAAAAATTGAAAAAAAAAATCAAATTACCAAATGGCTAAAAAAAAAGTTTGGGTCCTGTGCATTTTCAGTGGGTCGGTCGGCAACTGCAAACAAACTTAAATTTTATTTTAGGCCTCATGGAGTTAAAAAGAAAATCATGGTTGCTAAAATTGCCACCTGACCTTTATTTTAGAAGCTAAAGCATCTCTGGCTTGCTTCTCAGAATTCAGCTTTTCTTCTCTATCATGGACTTCTTCAATTAAACGATCTTTTTCCTAAAAAGAAAAAAAAAAAAGAAATCAGTACATTTTTCTCCTCTTCTCCACAGATCACAAAATATTTATCTCTGGATACTCTTGAAACATAGACTGGTTATTTTCACATGATTAAAGTAAAATCTTTCTGTAACATAGTCTTGTTACATTACATGCACGTACCTCTTGTAATATGTAATGACTAAAGTACAAACTTCCTGTAACAGAGTCTTGCTAGAGTACATACCTTTGTAATATGGACTGGTTAGTGTACATACCCTAAAAATCAACTTGCTCGTGTATATACCTCTCATTTAATTGATTGGATACAATACATATCATCTTACGATAGACTTGTTTCAGTACATACCTCTTGAATTAACATACTCTGATTATGTAACAGACCACCAATAACATGGTCAAGTTATGTACCTCCTGTAACATGGTGTAGTTACATTACCTACCTCCTGTAACATTGTCTGGTTACATTACCTACCTCCTGTAACTTTTTCTGGTTACATTACGTACCTCCTGTAACGTGGTCTGGTTACTTACCTCCTGTAACATGGTCTGGTTACTGAGGATGGCCTCCTTCTGCTTCTCTAACTTCTCCTGCTGTTCCTTCATGTAGGCTTCTTCATCCCCTTCATCCCCCTCCTCCTCATCTCCCGATTCTTCCTCAGATTCACTGATTATCTCCCCTGAAATTAAAAAAAATCATTTGTTGGCTTTCCAAAATAAAAATTAATTCATTATCTTGCTTTGTCAATTAATGTTATTATTTTATCCTCCCTGGCCTAATCTTGTAGTATATAATTTATAATCTTCACCATCAGCTGTCTGTCTGTGTCTTCTCTTCTTTTTACCATGCTTCCCTTTTCTTGGTCCTCCCTTCTTCTGCAAATTCGCCTTCAACCTGAATGAAATAAAAATTTGTTTTTTCTTCCATAAATGATTTTGATTCCAGATAATCATTAATACCCTCACTGTCCTTTACAAAATCATTATATTGATAATTATTATATTGATTATCAAGTGTCTTAAAAAGATTTAGATGAGATTGATTTTAATTTAATTGTAAAAGACAAAAATTAAAAAAGAAACAACAAATGTTGTAGAAATTTTAGTACAGGATACGTCATTAAAGTCAAGGTCATTTAATTTCTTTCTATGATAACTGACCTTGCGATTTCCTCCTGAAACTCTCTAAGCAGGGCATCTTTTGGATCTTCATTGATCTTTGGTTTGTTCTTGATGGCCTTTGCTCGATTTGCATACCTGTAAGAGTAAATTCATGTGTAAAATTTACACACTTCCTTTTAATTTTCCAATAAAAAGATTTATAAAACATTTCATGAATTATAAATATTGACCTGTGAAACACGTAAGTTATCTTTCTCAATATATTGTCCTTTATTTGCTAAGCATTTGGTTGCTTTACATGAGCTACATGTACCTGTGAACGCCACCCCGTCAATAAACCTTCCGAACCTCTCACCTTAATGTGCTCAGTGACTCGTCATAGTTATAACTGGCTGGACCAATGTTAGCCACCATCACAGTTTTAGCATTGCCTCCCAAGGAATCTGCAATTTTTTTTTTTTTTTTTTACATGTAGTTGACTTTAAATATCAAAAAAATCTAACATTAACAAACTTCGTTTTTACTGTGCAAAACTAAAACAATCTGATATTTAATCTGTTTACGTACATGTTTTCAAAACACATAGAATCTAATTATACTTTACAATGCTTCTTATCTGAAAGAACTTTGAGTCAACCAATCAAAATATTACTTAGTGAAAACTGTTACGTAAAAATCCCTAAAGATGACATAGAACTATGTGTACCAACAATACAAGGAAAAGGAGCAAAAATATTATTTTAATCTGGGTGTGGATACTCTTCCACACAGCTTACCCTGTAGGAGACGCGTCAGTTTGGCATCTCTGTACGGAATGTGTGTACTTTTACCGTCCACCAAGGCAGAAATGACATTGCACAAAGCTGAGAGGGAAAGGTTAATCTTCGTAGCTTCCTTAAGTCTTGTACCCTGGAAAAAAAGGTATTGAATATTAGATAAAGAACTACTGTGAAATCAATCCATGGGGTCAATATTCATGGGCAAGCAAAATTTTGTTGGTTTGAGGGTACATAATAAACTTTGAAACAATGTGTGGGAATTTAAATTTGTGGAAAAGGGTGATCCATGGAAACTACAAATATTGATCCCCAATGAACAATGATGATCCAACAGTATGCACATCTTTTTGAAGATGTTCTAAATTTTAAGTCTGCTTTTTTTTTTAATGGGGTAGGTTTCACAAACTAGTTGATTCTGTTTAACCATTATTTTTTTTCATTTTCTTGTGTGATACATATATTTTTTTGTTTCATTTGGAAGCAAAAAACACAATTCAGATTACTGTTTTAAATCACTTCAAACTCCAAAATACATACATATCTCAGATCGCAAAGTAAAGCAACATTATAATGTGTACATGTTCTGGAGGGTAAACTCAAAATAAATTTTCTTTTTGGTTGTTTTTACAATCAATCTAACTTGATGCATATCCATCTTAGTTAATTTATTTGGCTTGATTTTTAAATGCCTGACTGATGTGTTGTGATGTATGGTGAATCATACACCCATAAATAAATAATTTAATTACAAGTATGTAACAAAATCGTTAATGCCTATTGCCAGAAAAGTTGCTGAGGGTAATATTACAAATTGGTAAATACATCTAAAGCAATCAGATTTTAGTATTTATTGAGAAAGAGCAATAATTTCTGTTGGTACATACAGTGGCTCCGGTTTTGGATTGCCTTTCACTTCCTGCCAGATCCACCAGATTCAGCCGCCCGACCCGAATGTGGTTCTCCCCTTCCTCGTCCTCCTGTAAAACAAAGACATCGTTAATTAAACAAAAGGCATACTTGTTAATATATCATGATTTAGAGAACTGCAACAGAGTATCATGGTGCATATTGTGCAATTTAGTACGTTACATTTTCTGTACAGATATCTATTTATCTGTATATATCTGTGACCGTACCGTGCTGCATTCTATGGTAATGATGAAAATGGCATGAGATCTGGAGCTGTGTTCATTCATGTCTGTGGCTCTAAAAAGACAACAAAATCACCTTGACCTTATAACACAGACCCATTCAGTCAGCAAAGTTTAAGCAGTGCACACAAAGTACAGACAGATTTCATGGATATGATGCATCATAATAATCTGAAGAAAACTCTTACAGACCTTAATTTCAATTTATGATTTTCCACCTCCCCAAAGCTTTTGGGAGGGGATAAGTAAGTTTAATAGACATGTGTACATTCAGCACCTAACACATTTACATGTATCTCCCTTCTGATGCTCTATATACCTACCCCACAGCTCTATTCTGGTTCCCAACATTCATCACATGCTCTATTTCCTTCACACTTTTGGTAACAAATGAAGAGAGATCCTGTAAACATAGTGAAAACTCCAATCAAATGGACAACATTCTGTCTCATTTACTCTCAAATTAAGTCTAATAATAATTGCCTTACTATTAATTGATATTTCTTCATGTATATTGTATACAATCTAAATCTATTCCTGTATTATGATGCTCTTTAAAATCCCATGGCTTCTCTCTATTAACTTATATCCCTGTATATAAGTAAGTTGTCTACCTTTACGTAAACTCCTGTGTCAGGGCGCTCTTTAAGCTCCAGTCGTTTCTTGTGATCTTTGGCTAACAAGTCTCTTATCTCTTCCTGTCAACAATTTTAAAATATTACTTAATAAATGCCCTCACAGATTTTCCATAAAATCTGTTCCTCCGAAATATCTCTATATGTATGTAAGCATATTATTGAATTATTTTAAAGTCTCATTTTAAAATCTTCCCATGATTTTTATTGACTAGAAATTAATGCTCTTTTGTACCTGATAAATCTCCAGATATGAAGCCCTGATCAAGTATTGTTGATTTTGAGTCCTGGCAATGTGTTGAAAAATATGTTCAAAGGAATTTGGTATCACCCCTCGTAACTCAGGGTCATTCTTTGGACCTGTGGAAAAAGAAAACAATGTAAGTAAATAATAACATTATCAGAAAATGAGTAAACAATCAAATTAATGTTTCACTGCTCCATGAAGTTAGTCTTAAGAAAAAATAAAGCATGTACCCTGCATTGTGAATGTTTTGCCTGTGCCTGTTTGTCCGTAGGCAAAGATTGTCCCATTAAATCCCTCAATCACAGACTGTACCAGGTCTCGGAAGGTTTCATCGTATAAATCTCTCTGTTTGGAACTAAAATAGTAAATATGCTTTAACTTGATAATTCTATTCAATCATGATGAAGTACTAATAAACTGTCAATTTGATATGTATATTAACTTTGAAAAAATAAGATATTAAAACATTTGAAATCAAAATCTGAAAAAAATCACAAGAACTTTCTTACTTCCAATCATACACGGCATCAAAGGTGAAAGTTCGGGGAGGTTCAGAGTTAGGTCCCTTTGGATTATGGATAACAATGGATCCTTTACTAACATCCATATCCACAATTCTACAACCAGTTCGCAAGGAGATAATCAATATCAAAAGTTTTTTGTAACTCTAGTATCTATACCAAATATGGAAAAACATGCTTGACATAGTTATGGATCATGCTCAAACTGATTTTTTGCGTAATAATACAAGGGCAAACATTTCTTCACAGACTTTTACTATATCTTTAACAAACAAGGTTCTTTACCGTTCATGTCCGTCCCTAATTTCCTTCTCATCTAAAGGTCTGCATCTCACCACTACCTTCACACACTCCGCATTAGAGCTCGGCTTCAACTTAGACTTCAATAAAAACAAATCATGTATGTGAAACATATATAATACGAAAATTAAAATCAAGATGCATACAATAAGAGTATGACATGAAAGTAATAAAAAAATCAACTTTCCATAAAAAATCTTCCCTCAATCATATGCAAAGCACATACCATTTCTGGAGAGGGTTGTTGTTGTACTGTATTCTTTTTCTACCTCTGCTGATCTAAAATCAAAATCAAAGAGTACATATATAACACAGGTCCAGTACATACTTCAAATAGCTACATAGCTAAAATCATCTAGCTTTATTTAGCTACCTCAAGTAACTTTATTATCCCCTCTCAACAGAGTTAGAGGGAATATAGTAATACAATCCTGTCTGCTCGTTTCTGGGTGAATGAAATAATTTTGTGCGATATGGAAGTGATGCATTGGGTTTGATGTTGATGCTGCCTTGATTTATAGATATGCTCTATGCTAGGGGATGCTCCACCTTGTGGTGCCATTGTAAGTATATGGTTACTTATAGCAAGTGCAGCAAGCAGTGTGCAGTGCTGCTCACAACTGCAAGCTCCTAAAACAAAGCCTGGATAAAAAGAAAATTCAGACTGTGCACATTGATCAAAATGGATTATTTTTCTGCAGTTACCGGTTGTTCCGTAACCCTTTGGGAAATGCATCTTGCGGCAAACTATGTTCACACGGTTACAAACAGTTCCAAGGAAAAAAAAAACACACTTTGCTTTTAATGGATATATAGAGATAAATAGTAGATTAAACGTTCCTGATTAAAGTTTGCATTGTTCAGACTTTGATTTGATCGAACAACATGTGACACCAGAGTCTATATGCAGCAAATGGCACATGTGGTTTGACAAGCCCGTTAATTAAATCTGAGTAAGTATCTGCACTCACCCAACAATTGTACTTTAAACATAATATGTTGACAATGCGACCGTTATGGTGAGCACAGATATTTCTTTTGTTATGATTTAGATCGGGCTTGTCATTTAAATGTCAAACCACATGTGCCATTTGATGCGTCTAGACTCTGACATCACATGACGACTGATGTCACATGATGTCGTATGTAAGCTACATTATTAAAAACAAGCCTGAACAGCGCTGAAAGTAAATGAAGAACATTTTCGTTTACCATTAATGTTCAACATTTATCCATTAAAGGAGGGTGTCTTAACTTTTAGTTGAACTTTTGCTACAATTCTCATGAGAACGTAGCTTTAAAAAGTGATGCATTGTGGGTCTAGAGTCACTGAGGAAAAAAAATTCTGATAAATAAATGTGCAGTAGTCCGAACTTTCTCTTCGCCCAATCGTTGCTTTAACAGCTGAGCTCGCAGTGACGAGCGTCACTTCGCAACGTTTGCTGTGTGACGCTCACTATTATTTATAGTATTATAGGGAATTTTTGAAATAGCAATCCAAAGCAAAGACAGTTTAAATATTGCTGCATTTGAACTCTTTTAACCAAAGAAGTATTGCCAACGTGTTTGAGCAACTGTACATCACTTTGTGTGAGGTGAGGCATGGATAAGAATTATTACTTAACATTGTGCTGAATAATTGCCTAACAATTGCCATGGTAACCTGAACTAGTCTTCATTGTTACTAGTAGCGAGCGCAGCGAGCGCAGCGAGCGTCGCGAAGTGACCCTCGTAACTGCAAGCTCTAACAACAACGCCTGGGCGAAGAGAAAATTCGGACAACTGCACATTCATTCCATAGAATTTTTTTCCGCAGTAATTTTGACCCACAATGCATCGCATCGTATACAAACGCTAAAGCCACGTTCTCACGAGAATAACGACAAAAGTTAAAAAGAAAAATAAACCTGCCTTGATTTAATGAATTTATCTGCTTTTATATTGCAGAAAAATAATCATAAACTGATTGAAATCAGCCCTTCGGTTTGGTAAAGCAACATGCAAACGACATCATGTGACGTCAGTCTTATTCGCAGCGAATGTCACGTGCGGTTTTACGAGTCCGATCTAGCCTAAATGAAAACTGGATAAGTATCTGCGCTCGCCCTAACGGTCGCACCGTCAACATATTATTTCATTCAAGAAGTAACTGTTTGGTAACAAATTAACTGTTTCCATATACAGCCCCATTCAATTTAAGTTCCCATTTACGAAGATTCTAATTTAAGAAATGTTTGATTTGGTAACTAAATAAAGCTACTTCAGGTAGGCAAAGCTATGTAGGTAATTCAAGCTAGGTAGCTAAAATCTAGTGCTTGTACTGAACATGTTACAAACAAGAGACATTAAAAAAACTGTCACAAAAAAAAGACAATTTACACCTTTAAATGGAAAGTTCTGTTCAATTATTCGCAAAAAAGATTCTTAAAGTATCATTGTTTTAAAAAATGCTTAAAATACTTCAAAACAAATCGAAGTCCTGATCGTTCATGCAATGTTTGGAATATCGTCCGCCATCGCTGTCAAAAATATGCAACGCATGCGTACATTCATTAAAGAGCGCCCTCTATTTCTGATCATCATACCCGATCAAAATTTTGTAAAGTAGTCGACACTTCTCTAATAGTGCTAAACTCTTAAATTAAAATCCATTTTTATGTCCAATTATAAGGTTATATTCTCAATGTCAAAATTTAGAGCCCCAGTTTTCACGAGAATTGGGTTATATATGCAGTCTGGCGAGTACCTCGAAAACTTCTAGATTAAAGAAATCAATGTGTCATCTAGACAAACCCACGGAATGAAAACTGTATAAGCAATGTTACAACGCACTTTGAAAAATTACGCACTTTGAAAAAAAAATTCAAAGTGCGTTATTTAATTGATTACTTTTTGGTGATAAGTCACTTCATGACCTGAGATATTGACTTTTTTTTTAAACAAAAAAATATTTTTGGGTTTTGATGAATGTTATAAAAGGGAAATGGGTATCTTAGAAAAAATGGAGAGATGACTGTTTAAAATTAATATCATAATTTCGTTTCTTTTCAAAAATCCTTGTCTACTAGTCTGTAATAAGTTCAGTTGATGGAGAAGGGGGGAGGGGGGGGGGGGCTAAAAGTAAACGACTGAAAGCATCGCATTTTTCTTAAGAAAAAGGGGCGATTTGATTTTTCAATACTATGCATAGGTGTCGGAACCGGGGGGGGGGGGGTGCTAGGGGGGCTTAGCCCTCCACGTTTTTTGCAAATATATACATAATATAGGCATTGGAAATTGGGGTTTACCTTTTTTTTTTGTTGGTTTAGCCCCCCCCCCCACTTTCAATTTTCTTCCGACGCCTATGCTATGAAAATTCTTTCTCTCTCATACGTTGTAATTAAAATTTTTAGTTTTCAGCTGTTTTAAGTTATCTCATTTATTGAAAGTTTTCAGCGTCATACCAGTTTTGTAAATACATATACATATTTTGGATATCCCATACATGTACATGTAGGCATCGAAACCAGGTGAAGGTCAAGGGGGAGGGAGCTTACCCCCATCCCCCCCCCCCCCACTTTTTTGCAAAGATATACATCATATAGGCATTGAAAATGCGGCTTACCCTTTTTTGGGTAAGCCTACTTTCTGAGTTCCCCCGTTTAATTTGCCACCAACGCCTATGTATTGGAAAGATAACAAGAGGCCCATGGGCCACATCGCTCACCTGAGGAACTTTGGCCATGCTGTTCTACAGATCCCCCCCCCTTTGTAATGCCAATTGTGACCACGCCTTACACCCAGGGGTCATGATTTGGACAATTTAGAATCTACACTACCCAAGATGCTTTCACATAAGTTTCAGCTTTTCTGGCCCAATGGTTCTTGAAAAGAAGATTTTCAAAGATTTTCCATTTTTATTTCAATGTAAAACTTGGATTCCCCATTATAGCCCTACCCTCAGGGGTCATGATTTGGACAATTTAGAATCTACATTATTCCAGGATCCTTCCACATAAGTTTCAGTTTTTTCTGGCCCTGTGGTTCTTGAGGAGAAGATTTAAAAAGTTTTTTCCTATATATATTTCTATATAAAACTTGGATTCCCTATTTTGGCCCCGCCCTACCCCCGGGGGTCATGATTTGAACAATTTAGAATTTACACTACCCCAGGATGCTTCCACATAAGTTTCAGTTTTTCTGGCCCAGTGCTTCTAGAGAAGAGGATTTTTAAAGTTTTTTCCTATATATTTCCATGTAAAATTTAGCATTTACACTACCCCAGGATGCTTCCACATAAGTTTCAGCTTTTCTGGCCCTTTGGTTCTTGAGAAATTGAAATTTGAATTCGTCGGGCTAAGAATTCTATTTTGGAAGGGAATGTTTTGTTAAAGGCTACTTGTGATCAGTAATAGTGAACAGATTCTTGTCTGGGAATATTTTTATTTGTGAAAATTGATAATTAATTAATGACCCCACCCTATTTTTGTATTTTCTTGATTATCTCCCCTTGGAAGGGGACTTGGCCCTTGGTTTTTTACAATTTAAATTCCCCTTTACCTAAGAATGCTTTGTTCCAAGTTTGGTTAAAATTGGCCCAGTGGTTCTTGAGAAGAAGTTGAAAATGTGAAAAGTTTACACACGGACGGACGGACGGACAACGGTGATCAGAAAAGCTCACTTGAGCTTTCAGCTCAGGTGAGCTAAAAGTTGGACTGAGAGACCTTCTACCCGTCTTCTCCTCTTCTCGACGGGGGTAAATCAAATCATAAGTTTTTCGAAAGATAAATATTAGACAATCATTGCATTCCATTACTAAAATCTAAGTCCAGAATTTTTGTTTTATACATTTTTTTTTTCAAAGTGCGTTAGGTGTCTCAATTGTAAAATATGTAGATGTAAACTCTTAACGCACTTTGAAAAATTCCTGAAAAGTGCTTGAGTTGGTCCCAAATTTAACGCACTTTGAATTTTCTTTTAAGTGCGCGCGTTGCCAGAAAGTAACCAAACCTGCTGTACCCAAACCAAAAAGAATAGGCGCATTTGCAACAAGATTGATCTTTCTTCCATTAAGTCGGCGTTTAATTTTCTATTTCACTATTTTTGCTTATCATAAAGCCTTCAATTTCTTGATTATTCTTTATTTTTTCTTGATTTATACCTTTCAAATTATAAACATATGAAAATGAATTTTTAACTTCATTATATTTTTTCCGTACAAAGTTTAAACTTTTATTTTTTGACGTCCAGCGAGTCGTTAAATTTCGTGTGGATTACAGGTGCTCGTCATTTACATGTATTTATATCTGAATTAATCTGATCAGTTAAAATGCATACAGTGTAATTTTTTATATTTCTTGAAAAAAAAAATCAATTTTTATCATTCAAATTATAGTGTTGGTGTGTATATTGATCCATTTATTATTAACTTAAAATTATTTAATATGTGCCCATATAATGCCAGCAGAATTAACATAAAGAAATTCCAGCTGATCAATATTTCTCCAATGTAATCTTTTTATAAAAAGTTTTGAGGTAAAATATAACGATAAGACATCCATGCACCTTAAGGGTTGAAAAAAAGGTAATAGACAGAACCCACAGTAAATTCTGGTCAATATATCTAATATGAAAGAAAATGCTAGTAATTACAATTTAAACGCGCACAATGAATTATCAGAATGGATTAAATGTATCATATGTATGTTAAAATGGCGCATTAAGCGATTAAGGGGCAATATGAAAACCATCCATCCTTAAATTCTGTATTCAATAATCCTGAGGTGAAAAAAGATTTCGATAGATAATATGATCAGTACGTACTGGTCTCTGCTGACAAAGCAGGAAACAACACCGTCTTCTTTTGTAAGGCTCATTATATAAATTGTATATTAGAGGAACTTGGATTTAATTCTGTGAGTGTTAATCCAACTCATATCCATAGCTCCCTTTTTAAGAAGGAAATTCTTCAAAATCATATGTCAGTTTGAATATTTTTAATACTCCCCACAATCAAAATTAATTAGAATTACCATATCTATATTGGATTCTGAAAACAACTTCATAAAAAATCCTTATAAACAAAGATATATACATAGCGGGTTCCAGTAAATGTTCTACCAAACCTCTTTCTTTACTCCATATTAACAGTAGTAGAGGAGAAGCTTCAAGAGTACTGTGCAACAATATATTCAAAAAGTGATGTAAATCAGATGTGGATACTTAAAAATTCGAAGGAAGTTTTGGAAAATTTGAAATCACAAGATTTTACCACAATCAACAGCTTCAAAACTTACGACTTTTCAACTTTATACACAACCATTCCCCACGATAAATTAAAGTCCAGGCTTTTTTATTTCATTGACAGCTGCTTTTCAATAAAAATGGAACTCGTAATTTTACTTACCCTGTCATTGATCGAGCCCCAATACCATTAAATGAGAACAGACTAAGTAGAAAGTTCATTTTTTTAATACATCGAGTTTTAATTGACATATTTGATTGAAAATCAGAAGTTTTCTATAACAATTACATTGAAACATATGATGATTATTTTGTTTCATTATCAAAATTATTTCAAAAGTAACATTGATTTAAAATTTCGACTTAAGTCTGTTCTCAGTTGGTAGCCGAGTGTCTAATTGTCAATTTCTATGTGGCTTTTGGAGACCACGTCTTCCAACATTCTATTGAAATTTCATTTGGTACCCATTGCGTCCCGTTATTAGCAGACCTATTTTTGTATGAAGCAGAATGTGATCAAAATCTTAATATGTGAAAAGAAGAAAACACATCAACGATACTGGAAACGTGGAATAATTTATGCAAATTATCCCACGTTACCAGCTATCGTTGATGCTCTGGCAAACCTAACAAACTAGATGCTCTGGCAAACCTAACAAACTAGACAGTGATTCCTGAAATAAATACTGAACCTCTAAGAAAGGTGTAAAAAATGAATTTATCAAAACGATGCTTGAGTTTCCGATGGACAATAAGTCTTCCAACAATCTATTGGAATTCCCATGGGAACCAATTGCGCTCCTTTGTTAGCAGACCTCTATTTTTGTATTCATATGAAGCAGAATTTGTGCAAAATCTTATTCCTGAAAAAAAGAAAACACTTGCTGTGGCCTTCAACTCAACATTTAGATATATCCACGACGTATTGTCAATTAACAATGGTTATTTCTATTCCTAAGTCTATACGATATATCCTGGTGAGCTTGAGATACAAAAATACCACAGAGTCTGACACATCTGTTTCATACTTGGATATTTTACTTGAAAAAGACGTTAATGGTAATCTAACAACCAAGCTCTATGATAAACGTGATGACTTTTCTATCGTCAACTTACCTTACTTATGCAGCAATATACCTTCATCACCTGCATACGGAGTTTATATATCTCAGTTGATTCGATACGCAAGAGCATTTTCTATGTATGAACAATTTCTAAAACGAGGTAAATTTTTGACAAACAAGTTGATGAAACAAGAATATCAGCAGTCTCGTTTAAATTCATCATTTCGTAAGATCTTTGGTCGATACAATGACCTTGTCAGCAAATA